ATACTCTAAATTAATCTATCTACGCTGAAAGTAGTCAAGAGCATAGCAGAAGTTATTTAGAACACCCATAGAGATTTTTTTGTCCAGTTTTTGGCATACAAAATACTTGGGCATGTTGTCAATTGAGCCTGTAATATAGGCCAATTTTTAAAAAAGTATAATACTGCTGGCATCTCTGAAAAATCAAGTACACAGATACAATTTTAAAACTACATTTATTGCTGTTGAAAGGTGATTATTAGCTCTGCGGTTTTCTGTCTGTTAAACAAGTGTGGTTTAGGCAGCAGAAGTTCCCATGCTCTTTGCTGTTGGATGTGTACCTCAGTCCTACCCTGGTAAGAGTGTGGTTGGAATGGAAAGGGGCTTCATGTCCAGTGTCTAATTCTTCACTCGTTTTTTTCCACCAAATCAACTTGGTATCTGTTCACTGGCAAGTGACTGGTTGTTTTTATCACAGGTTGTTCACTAGAAGTGAACAACCCCATATTGTCTTCCCATATTCTTCCCATATTGTCTTCATTGTCTTGAGGTGGGAAGATTGCCTTCTGCCAGTCATAGCTTTCAGTCCTTGTCTCCAAATGATGCCTCGAGCCCTTGATCCAAATGAGGTCTTTTGTTTTTTTGAGTCCCAGACTGGTCTAGAAGCGGCGGAGTGAGCACAGTCTTTCTCCCAGATTTTGTAAGCCACCCAAGTCCCCTTTTAAATACAGTTATTAGCTATAGTTTGTATTTTGTAAATATTTTATTAGCAGTGATTTATAGTTCTTAGCCTTCTCATTATGATTCACAACATTTTGAACTGCTTGCTTCCTGGGGGAAAGGATGGGGTGTTGTGTCTTGCTTTTCTATAACTTGCACCTGAAGCAGTTCTGGTTCTGGAAGCAAGTGGGAGATGGAAACAGAGTGTGCTAAGTATTAATAGTCTCTGTGCTGGCCTGTTGCTTTGGTGTTTGTCTGGCTTGTCAAGGAGGCAGCCCTCTCTCTGGCCATGCAAATTGGAGATCTGCTCAGAGCTCAGGTGGTGCTGGAGTCTCTGCCTCCCTCTAACCAAGGAGAAATCCTCAGCAGTTGCTTCTTCACCAGCTGCTTTAGGATAGATAAGTGTAGTGAGAGGTGGGAGGGGGGTTGTTAAGCTGCCCCCAAACCTTTCAGAGCACCCTCATGATGCCAAATGTCCTTCTCCCCTTTTACATGTGGACATGTACATGTGTATATTCATGCTTTCTCTTTGCAGCTGCTCCTTCTTGCTTAGGATTTCCTTACTGCTGGCAGGTGTGAGGGAGGAGCTGGCACAGGGGCACCGGCAGCAAGTAGTTAAAAGTGAAGCACGTATTGTGTGTGTCCTGAGTGCTGATGAATTTCTCAGTGACCTTGAGCAGAGCTCAAAGCTTGCGTGTGCTGGTGTGAATGACATTATCACCTGCCTGAGTGTATGTTACACGGACTATGCCAAGGAGGTAGAATGGATCCAATACTGTTACTAAAAGCAGGATCTTTGCCACAGCATGTCTCTGTGTTGCCTGATGACAGGCAGTTAGATTTAGGGATCATGTGTTAGTTCCCTCCTGAGATGAATCGCTGTAATGAAGGGAAAGGGCCGGTTCTTCACTGTGAAGTGTTGACGTGAGGGCAGACGGAAGGAGCTGAAACTGTGTGCAGGAGTCAGGGAGGGAGCGGGCATTCCGCAAAATGAGGGCTTTTATCGTCTGGTCTGGTCAGAGTAGTGCTGCTGCCAATCTCCTTTATGTGTTGCCTAAGAACAGGCTCCAGGCCCTTCTTTTCATCTCCTTCCTAATGACTTAAGACAAGGAATAACTATAAAAGGAAAAAAAAAAAAAAGCAAGATCTGAGGAGACTCTTTCATTTATGTTGTAGCTGAATGTGTAGCAGTAGACAAATGTATTGAGCTAATGTTATAGTGGCTGAAAGTTCAAATCTTACCTTAGGGCCACAGGCTATAGAAATGAGGAAGCTTGCAGCATCCAGAAAGAGGAAGGTATTGAATGTTAAATTAGTGATGAAAAATCAGGGTATGTTGAAAGCCTGAAAAGCACTTTGGGGACTCATGGTGTAGTCAAAAAGGTAAGAGTGGATCTATCACACCCTCTTCCCTATATTGTTTCTCCTCTTTGAAGCCTTTGTCTTATTGTACACATCACACATGCTGCAAAATGACTCCTGCGTGGTGGCAGCACTCTGCCATATGCAGGAACAGCTGTGAGTGTTTCTGAGCAGGCCACTGTACATGATAGATCACACCCTTGGTAAGAAAGGAGTTCTGCCCTCTGCCTGCAAACAAATGGATGGGAGAGGAGTGCGAACAACCTTCTGGCTTCCTTCCCTGTGGAAGCAGCAGATCCAGTCCTGTGCAATGTATATTTGAATTTAAAGGTTAAAACATTTTTGTTGTCAGTGTTCAGAATATGTGCCTTTCCCCATTCACTCTGCAGAAGATGCACTGGTGTGTGTGTGTTTGTGTTTGAGGATGGATCTGTGTTCATGGGTGTTTGCCCACTTGCCAATTTCATGCAAAGCCATAATACCATAATGAGGTTTGGCAAATTGTAGTAGAGCTCTAAAACGGATTGTAGAAATCCCTTTTAGCCGGAGTGTTGATAATTTGGGGGAGTTACTTTAAAGCATTTGCTTGCAGGTGTTGTGTGTGGTGCTGATGGTTGGGCTACTCTGTCCTTTGTGGACAGATTTGCCCTGAGGAGCAAAGGACTTTGATGGAGTCATAAAAATAAAACCACCAAATAGCATAGTGTGATTTAATTGCAAGGCAGCTTCATCAGTTCTTCCCCTAGGGTGCATTCTCTGTATGTTTGGAGATGTATTTTATCATAGGGGTGAGGGTAGTAGAAGAGGGGGAACATGGAGAGGGAGGTATCTTTTTGAGTACAATCAAGTGGAAGTTTCAGAAGTTGTTCTCAAAAGTTTGATGTTTGGGGGATGAATAAGTCTTACCCAAATAAAAATGTCTCCCCCTGCTAAGCTACTCCTGTGACTTGCATGACTCTAGGAAGTAGAAATACTCACAGGGTGGTATTTCCATTTTTCCTATCACAACTTAATTTATATTAACCAGATCAAACATTGTTTGTGCTGCCTGTGCAGCCCTACTAAAATAAAATGGAAAGCTGCCACTGCCTTACTCAGCACGACAAGACTCCATGCTTACTGTTTGCTTGCTCTTGTCAGTACTTTATAACCAATATGCAAGTTCAAGGTCATGCCTATAACAGACATTTCTGGCCAGAAGAAGCTCTCTTAATGTCACCAGTTCAATATATCTGTGTATAGATGTTACTTTCCAAATATTCCTGAAGTGTTGTATATTGAATGACGTGCAAGAGCTGTCTAGCAAGTCCAGTCAGTGTTTGAGGAGTCAGTGGGCAGCTCCCCTGAGATTTTTCTTGTTTGGTACAAAATTGTGTATTTAAAACATGGCAAAAAAACCCACCCCCCAAACAATAAAAACCCTACTAGTTTTAAATCTTTAGTTTAAGGCTATTGAGTGTCCCTGAAGGTGTCTAAGGAAAGCCAATTCTAGCACTTACATGGTCCTTGCCTTCTTGTAGAACTTCTTTTCAGTTGGTGGGCTAAGGAAGAAGTCAGGTTGGGTGAAGAAATGAAATGACACTAAAATGCGTCACACAGGTGGTCAGAGCACTACTCCTAGGAGGCTGAGGCAAGCAGCAGGAGATGGAGTGTGTGGGTGTGTGCTCTTTGAATGCCTGTCAGTGCCTGCTCTTGGAAAGGAGCAGAGCAATAAAAACGATGGAATTATAGCCTACTTTGTTGTGTAGCTCTCAGTTTTTAAGGTAATTTTTCTGACTAAAGTCCAAAAAATACCATTTTCTCATCAAGCCGCTTCGTAAAGGTCATGGCCTTTATATTTAGTGCCACGTTCAAATTTTACTTATTAGTTCAAGGCCAACACAAGTGGCTGAGGTTATTTTCCTTTCTTCTCTGCCATTCATCTCTGTGGACGCATTAAGTCTCTCCTCTGGCACATTGGTCCCCCTAATTTTTCTGCCTTCTTGCCATACTTTTTCTATGCCAGCACCCCTGGCCTACCCCTTGACAAATTCCCTTGTTTTAGCTGTGGAATCAGTAGCAGAAAAGCAGTATTTGGAGCTTTGTAAGTCCTGCAGTGGTAATGACTGCTTCATATCCCTGGGCTGACTTTTAAATGTACAGGAAAAGTTAATCAAAGACATCCGTAAGCTCCTTTCTGTATGGATTTTACCATTTAATTATAGGTCTTCTTTTGGGGTAGTGTTCTCTGAAGTGAGCTTGGCACAGCAGATGCCATTCTGCCTGAGGATGCATTTCTGGTATTGGCCCGGTGAAGAGCTGCCACTTCAGCTGTGGGATTTTGATGACTGCATGAACATCCTGCCACATGAGATTAGAGTGGCGGTGCTACCTCTCAGCTTCAGGATATGAAAGATCCGCCTCTTCATTAGAGCTTTCATACAGTGGCAGCTGAAGTGAGGAGGAGAAAAGAGAGAAGCCATTTAAGAAAACCAAAGGCAAAGCTACTGAGCTAAAAGGTGATCTGAGGGGAGGAAGGCTGAGATATCATTACTGTTTACTCATGGAAAGGTAGGG